TTAAATGGAAATTTCTCAGAACTTGGTGCACACTGTATTCCTAGCAAAGCCAAATCCAAGAGATACCATCATTTGTTTGGGATGGGTATCGTTTAGTTTTATCCGATACCGGTGCCAAATCGGTACTTTTGAAACGGTGCCGGTGCTTAAACGGTGCTCAAACCGGTGCTTAAAGAATGGAGAACACAAAATTGGTCCAAAAACCTCTCATGTTCAGCTGTTTTTTTGTAAAAAGATAACAATGTTAGCCTTTTCTCCAGCTATAGGGCATATATGGTATCACTCTTGGTTGGAAGCAGTGCTTAAACAATGGAAAAAACAAACTTTGTCCAAAAAACTCTCATGTTTAGCTGTTTTCCACTTTTTCTTTGGTCATTTTAGCCTTTTTGGCCAGGGTGAAGGGAGTATCTGCCATCAAACAAGAAGACAGCCGCATGTAGCTATGATGATGTTTGCTAGTTCACCTTACATGCATTAATGTAATAACGTGGTTAGCCTACTCAACGTAAATTATACACGAACAACATTAAGCTACTCACGCAGAGAAGAACGGCACAGTATCACAGTATCAGCTTAAAGCACTTGTTGCTGCTGAGTTTGCATATTTTGCTGTGAAGTACAGCCAGACTTTTGACCGCTTCGCCTTTTTCGTCATTTTTAATCTGTAGCTCTGCTCTAAAAGAACGTACGTACCTGGCCCCGCCTACTATCTTCGGAAACGTAAAATGATTGGCTAGAATCTAAAGTGTATCACAGCTCAGGAAAAAAAACCCACCGAAATAAAGCACTGAAATGTGCGCTGCTTTTCGGTCTGGTTACTGATGGCACCGGTCCGGTACCCATCCCTACTTGTAACAACAGTGCATGAGTGAGTATAAATAGTGATCAAATTGTAACGTAAGCCACTGTTTGTGAAGGCGTTTTACACACTAATTTAAAGGTTCATACAGTAAGCTAACTCTTTTTGCTGTCTGTAAACTGCTAAAAAGGTTTATGTGAAGGAGGTTCCAATGTCTTCTAAGAGAATTTTCAATAAACAAATGAATCCTACATCCTAGTCTAAAGCTGATAACAGTCAAAAACAAGTTACTCCTACTAGTTGCAAACATACATGTTGCGTTTGCTCAGTGGATACTTTGTAAATAGTCTAATGCAAAACTCTGTGCAGTTATATGAAACATTAAGTAAACCTTTACTGCTTCCATAGGAATTAAGAGGGTAACAGCCAAACCCTCCTAATCAAATGTCTATGATTAACCGATCATCAGCAAGTGTCTTGCACCCTCTAAAAAAGAATTCCCAACAAATTCATCCCAAGGTCAAAGAGTACAATGCTCAGGAAAAAAAAAAGAGCTACACTTCAGTCTCTACAGGCCTGAGTTAGCATGTTAAATATTAAAGTTCAAGACAGAATTAGAAGAAGACTGAAAAAGTATAGCTCATTTAGAACTGCTGTCAGGAGTAATCCTCTTCTTTCTGAAAAACATGGAAGCATGGATCAAGTTTGCAAAGCTGCATCTTAACAAACAGCAATACCTCAGGAACAACATCCTTTGGACAGACGAGACCAAAGTGGAGATTTCTGGCCACTATCAACTGTCAAATACGGTGGGGGAGGGGTGATGATTTGGGTTGGTTTTCTAGCCACGTGACCTGGGCACTTTCCGATCACTGGATTTCCTCTGTATACCAAAGTATTTACAGAATCAAATGCGAAGCCATGTGCTGGAAAACTGAAGCAAATTAGGTCACGCAATGGGACAATGATCCTAAGCAAACAAGCAAATCTACAACAGAACCAAGGCAGTGCAATGGCCCAGTCAAAGTCCAGACATGAACCCAACTGAAATGCTGCGGTGCTGTGCATGAACACATCTCCATACATCTCAATGAACTGCAGCAATGCTGCAAAGACGAGCAGGCCAAAATTCCTCTACAGCAAAGTGAGAGACTGATGAAGTCATACAGAAAACAACTACTTTACATTATTGCTGCTAAAGGTGGTTCTACAAGCTACTGAATCATGGATCATGGGGTGTACTTATTTTTTCACAGTTCTGTACATAGAGCTTTCCAGAAACTTTGTTTTTTAAGGGAATATAGGTGTGAGCACTTTGGCCACTTTGTTTTTGTGCTACGCTGCCAGTGATGCTCAGCACTTGATCCCCAGCTCAAGAAACCACTCTGTGTAAGTTTTACATAATATATGTGCACCACTTGAGCTGACTGGCTGAACTACATCCACAAGGTGGGCTGTTAAAATGTGTAATTCATAAACTGAAGTGATAATTTCATGGTGCAAACCTTCCACAGATTCATATGTTAATATCCTCGCCTGTAGACTTAGTGGAAGTGAGGGATTGGAGATTATTTTTATTTTGTGTATTTGATGCAAGGGTTTGTAAGGTGTCAGCAAGCGCCAGAAAGCTTTATTTTCAACTGACAGTGCATTCCTCTTCTCCTGCCTGCCTTTATTATCAATTGCTATTTTGAGCTTGGATTTTCTTCTAAAATTGGCATTATTGTTATATTCCTTCTTCCCGTCAACGCCCCGTGTGCTGTGTTCATCGCCCCTGCTGTGCATCTGCCCAGCTGCTGCTGCTCATTTTTTAAAGATGCATAGAAGGAAGTGTGAAATCTACAGGATGAGACATGATTGTATAACCTATCACACATTTAATGAGCCATTTCATATCATTTTCTGGGGCTAGGAGCAGCCTCTTTTATGTACATGGTGTAGAATTATGGCCGCCCAAACTGAACACTTCAGCATTGATGTTGATGGATGTTGCGTGAAAGCAAAGTGAAAATGATTTGTTAAGGAAGACACGGCCACTAAGCTGTGCATCCTTGGTTTGTTGTTGCTGCTTGAGCCACACAAAGAGAATTTAAAAAAAGGCTTCAACTTCCTCAGCTCATTATAATGAAAGAGAGAGAGAGAGCAGAGTGGTACAGTAAGCGGAGAGCAGTGTCGGAGCACCACAGTCAGCAATTTTTATGAAATGTATGCGCGGCTTGATGTACTGCCAGTCGCACACTTTTCAGTCTCCTTCTCTGCAGAGATGAAAATCACATTTGATCCAGTTTGATAACAGAACTGGGTCATGGTTTGAGAAATGTTCCTGGCTCTACAGCAGGGACACACGCACAACCGTAACACATTCGTAGACACACAACACTCTCTATGCCTGCTTAGTATATAGTTGGCCAGCAGCCCCTCCGTCACCAATTAATTTTATTGGGAGTTAATCACATCATTCATGGTCTTTAAGAACAAGCAGTCGTCACTTTAAATCAAAGCTCTCAATGTACTTCAGTGATGTGGCCATGAATGGAGACATTCTATTTGGGTGAATGGTATCAATTTTATGTGCAAGATTACTCAGTAAATGTAAAGTTATAGCGAATACTTTCAGCTTTAAATAAATATCTCAGCAAGTACTTGTGATCACCAGAGCATGTAAGCTAATCTAATGACTGTTAGGTTGCTTTTTCTAAGTAACACTCTTATATTTTATAGGAGCGTTACTTAGAAAAAGGGATTTACTCCTGCCTTCTTCTCCTAATAGCAGCCATAGCAGCTTCGTCAGGCAAAACTGTGTCCAGTTCTTGGATTTTTTACAAAATTTCTTCAAAATTGGCAGCATTCCCACTGGCTTTAGCTTTGTGTTTTGTAGAAATTAGCTAATGTAGCATGCTAAGGCTATCCATTATAAACACAAGCTTGTTAGCATTTTCTTAAAATCGTTGCTCAAGGCCTCACAGAGCTGCTAGCAAAGACAATTACAGTTTACTATAAACCTTTAGCTAATATTCATTCGATTATTAATAAATTATTGAACAACACAGTCAGATGAGCTACATTAAAATTCTAGAAATTCAAGACAAGGAAGAGGACCAGTCCAACACGCCTGTGATGTTGATGCCTCTTTGCAACAGAGCTGAATCAATTTTTCATGTGCAGTCCATGCTACTTCTTCAGGAAATGACCCAAATCCTTCCTAAAGCACTAGCCCTCTTAAAAGTGAACATTTATGAGTTAAAAAAAAACAGCTAGATTTAATCTTTATGTCAACGTAAGGGTCCCTGATATTTAGTGATAAATATAAGTGCACTGAGAAGAGTCAACATTTTGGTCAAGAATTAAAAGCACTAAATTAAAGCAGCAATTTTCCGCCTTTAGTGATAAAACCAAAGAGTCGCAGAGAAATAGGTTATACTACCAAATATTTACTCTCCACAACTATTGCTGACTTCAAACTGAAAGCACAAAATTGGATAACAAAGACAAAAAGACACAGCATTTTAGAGTTCATTTAACTTTATTGAGAGCTGTGAAGGTCACAGAGCAGCTAGCCATGCAGAGAACTAGCCTGGTAGTGCGCATTTAGATTTTAGAGTCACCTGGTAATACTGATCCTGAGCCAATTTTGGTTCTAGTCAGTGAGGATAATGTTTAAGAGTAACATGGTACAGACTAATTCAAGATGTAAAAGCAAGTCCAAATTCAAATCCTTGCAAAAGCACACCGACACACGTGTGGATACACTGGAAATAAGCAGAGTATAAAATAAGGTGAGTGACTAGAACTGTTGTGCATAGTATCTGAAAAGACTTGTGCTGACAGGGGTAGTTGTTAATTGAGCAAAGAGATGCATACATAGGTAAGTAAGACAATAAATAGTAATTTCCTGTAAGTTGTAACTGAAATTAATGCCCTTAGTTGGGTCCTGGATAGCTGCAAACCTCTTAACCAGAGTGCTATTCAGAGCCGCTATATACAATATTTTTAAGGCTATTTACAAATACTGTCATAATTGTATTTACAGTTATTGCCACAACAAAGGCAGTCCGTGACTGCCTTATTGTTTTCAAATGACAGAGCAATAAACCAAGTGTCGTGAGGTGATTTAGTCTTTTTCCTAACCCTGGTCTCTCTTTAATACTTATCACTTATGTGTGCTGGGAGAAACTTGCCATTGATTTAAAATAACATAAACTTTTGAGTGTCTGAGAGACTGAAAGTTGGAAGAGTTTAATAAATCATCCTGGATTATTTCTTTGCTCTGCTCTGTCCAGGAGGAAAAGCAAGCACATCAAAAAGTCCTAACATTGACACCATCCTCATGCTGAAGTACACAACTAGATATGACCGCGAATATTACAGGACATTACATACAGATAGACATGGCTTGGTGTTTATATGACGAAGAAAGCAGATTCTAGTGGATGGTTTTTAACGCTACACTGAACAGAGTGAATTATGAAATCTGTGTGTGTAAAGAAAGTGCGACTGAAGGGCACACTGACAAAGAAACTCCCCGAGGTGCACGTAAAGCATTTGTCACATCAGAGCTGTGAAGAGCACAAATGTACGATATTCCAATCACCGGAGAGCAGTCTGAAATGTAAAAACCTCAGAATCTGTGTGTGTCATTAATAAAAGATGTAGCCGAGAAGACTTACTTTTATATATTATGTAATACCTGAATCTTTTTCTACTCGGAGCAGAAGTGACACATATCCATATCATGATGTAAAATGTGCTCATATAGAGCTGCAGTGTGGACATCCAAATATGGTTTAAATTCTCAGCTAAATCTATCAAATCCAGGCGGTTTAACAGGGTTTCAAACAAACAGCCAGACAGTGTGTTTGCACAACGCACCACAATAAACAGCTACAGACTTTCACAATGTCTCGTTTCCTTTACAAAAACAATGACATTAAGACAGTTTGCTTACAATGTCTCTTTAGGCTTGGACAAGCCTCGACATCATAATTAAAAAGTCCTCTGTTCTTTCTCACAAACAGATGGCCAATGGAGATGGCTATTGAGGTAGCCAGACTTCCTGCACACTTATCCTCTTCCACATAATGCTACATTTCATTTGTGAGGGTATAAAAAAGGAAAGCTGTGCTACAAGAAAAGTAGCTCTAAATAATTGCAAGGAAGCCCCTGCATCCTTTAGGTCTTAAACTGCGGTAAAAAGCAAAGTTGTGAGTTATCTTCCACTCACACTGCTTTCACTGTCACATTTTTGAGATGGAGGCGGGTGGTTGATGGTCAGTGAGGTGTTGGCTAAACACTCCTGAGTATTCCTCCATCACTGTAACAAAATGAGGGTCAAGGCGAAAGCAGCACCGTCATATTTCTAGCAGACACTTCACAGGAACCAGGCCCCTCTTCTTCCCGCTGCTCAGCCGGAGGAAGCCGTCAATCTCCTCGTTCTTCCCGATACAGATCTGCAGAGGGAGAGTCAGACGGTGAGGAAAGGCAAGAAGAGAGGACAATGGAGCAGGTGGAAGGGCAAGTGAAATAAAAATAAATAAATATATGTGAGTTTCTGGACTGAGGCAAAAAAAAAACAAACAAAAAAAACAGTCATAACATGCAGTCCTCGGTAATCTCAGCAGTTTTTTGCATTCATTTGCATAGATTTTGAAAAGGCTTTCAGCGTGCAAGAGAAACTGTGTGTATTTTACAGTCTCACCTGGGACTCTTTCACAGTCATCTGGCCTTTGTCTCGGTTGCCGTGGAAACCAGTAGTGACCTTCCACACCCTCTCACCAGGGCGGATACGCTGCACAAAGTTGGCCGGAAAAAATCCCACCTTGTTTCTGCTTTTCCCCTGGCAAACACACCCAACCAAGGACACACACATGCACAAACATTTAGCCCGTTAGTCTAAACAGAGAGGAAAAAAAGGTCTGCACTGGTTGTAGTATAAAAATAGATCTCACTCACTGGGTTTTCACTCAACTTTGCTCACTCGCTTAAGGTAAATTATTTCATATCATGTCCGCTTATGTTCCAACACGAGTATGTTATTCAGAGGCAGCTTCCTCTGCAGCCCTCAAATAAGCATCACATTTGTAGCACAATAAGAAAAATGAATTAGAATGAACCGTCACAATTAGCAAGAAATCTGGAATTAAAAAGAGATTTCTGAGTTTTTGTTCCCTAATTAGCAACACAGCCACTAGACCAAAAAGCATTTTTGTATTTGTGAAGCCCTAATCCCCTGCTATTCTCTTCAGAGACTCTGGCACACAAGCATACAAAACCCAGGAATGGAATGCTGGAGTTGCACAACTCAAAATTTACCCATTTTGCTGGCTTGGCTGAGTCCTTGCTTAAACTGAAAGCATATATAAAAGGGAAACAGCAGATTTCTGCAGAGTGTAAGTATCTCTTTTGGAAGGTGGTTTGTATGTTGTTTTTTGTTGTTTTTGTTGAAATAACAGTAGCACTGTTTGTGCATTTGTAGCTGAAGTCACTAGACTGTCCTGAATCAGTTTAAACACATTCTGAATGAAGAATTGTACTGCGTTTAAATCAAGTCACAAATATTGTTTTCTGAAGTAATTTGGTTTGTACTCTTTAAGAAGGAAAATAGAAAAATCCAACAAAAATATTTATTTACAGTCAATTTTAAATGAGCCCCTTGATGATCTTTTCATTCATTTAATTGAGGCTTCTTCGTTAACTAAAATTAGCCGCAGGAAAATAGCTCCTCTGCTGCCACCCTGTCGGGTAAGACAAGCTTTTACTTTTCCCTGATGTTTTGTTATGTGAAGATTTGTCTGTCCTTCTGCTGGTCAAGGGTAAAATCGCCTGCCGTCTCATTAAAACACAGATTGCAATCTGTCCTCTTCCTCTTCATGTTAACTAGCTCTGCTAACAGTCACACCTGCCTTACTTCAGGGCTCAACTATCAACTCTGTTACTGTGACCAAACAGCTCTGCTTTGAAAGGAAGTTCAGATGTCGAGCTGAGGGTCCCATGTGTGATTCTGATAAATATATTGAGATACCCTGGATAAGTAAATATGTTATTTACAAAAGCACTGGCTCAGTTAAAAAGAAAGAAAATGTAATGCTTCCGAATGACTTAGTGAATAGATAACACTTCGGTGCATTTCAATATAAAGTCTGTTTTATAAAGCCTACCTTCCACCAGTCTTCATTGGAATCATCTGTCACTTGAATTCTGTCACCAGGCCTGCAGAGAAAATAGAATATAGACCAGAGTGCAGTGAGCTGAGTATCCCTTTAGGAGGATTTTTACCACTTTAAAAGCAATAGTGTCAGGTTTGATGTTCACTTGTAATTTTATTCAATTTTTACCAAAAAAACCCCAAAAAACCCCCCAAAAAAACAGTTAGTGTTAGATAAACATCCATCAATCCATTCGCTTCCGCTTATCCTTTTTAGGGTCGCGGGGGGTGCTGGAGCCTATCCCAGCTGTCATAGGGCGAGAGGTGGGGTAACCGCGCAGTCTGTCGCAGGGCTAACACACAGAGGCATACAGTGAAAACTAATTCGACGCATATTGGCACCTATAGACAACAGGAAATACAAGATACAATACTTCTGCTGTTTATCAACCCTTATTACAAAGTAAGAACTGTGGAGGTGGTATTTTTACATTGATGTAAACCATTTAGAGTTTTTTAAATGTCATTCAAAATACTAATAATAGCAGTAAGTATACAGCAGCAGAATAACACTGACCATTTTCAGGCTAGCGTGTGTGTTAAAGGGTTTGCCTGAACTCGAACACTTTTGATCAACCATTTGTGTCTTGGTGGGTTTTTTTTAATGTGCTATATAACGAAAATGGACTTCACTATGTAATTGTTCACTCTTCTATTATGTATAATCCTGTAAATATCACAGCAGCCTGAGACGCTTCTTTCCATTAGTCTGAAGGCAACTGAAATAGCTGGCTTCATGCCGGACTGTGTACTTTGGTCAGTTTTCCATTAAAGTCACAACAGCAATCTTAATAGGCTGACCTAACTTTAATGAGCTGACCTTATTAAGGCCCAACAGTGGCTAAACTTCCTCCGTGTCCTTAGAAAGAATAACCTGGACCGGAAGATGCTGCTGGCCCTCTACTGGCTCCTCAGTGGCGAGTGTGCTCTACTACTGCCTTGGTGTTTGGTACGCAGGGGCCACAAATGAGAACAGGAAGGGTAATTAGGGTAATTAACAATGCCCCCCCCCAAAAAAATAAATAAATAAAAAAAATCATTGACTGCTCTCTGCCACCCCTGGAGGCCATCGCCAGATCCTTCTGTCTCAGAAAACCCAGGGCCATCATAGGTGACCCCGCCCGCCACCTGTTTGACCTGCTGCCCTCTGGTCAATCAGGTCCCACACCTCCAGACTCACCAACAGCTTCTTCCCCTGGGTCATTCAGACTGTTAAAAAACACTAACCCCCCACACCACACCACAGCCCACCCATCTCATTAATCTGAGTCATGGTCTGAGTAACCCTCATCACTCAGGCCGCTCACACACAGACTCTATACTCAGACAGTCCTTTTCACTGCTTCCAAACACTTTGCTCTCCAAAGTGTGCCTTTCTTTTGCTTTGTATATGTATTCTTCTAGTTTGTATATATTTCTTCTGTTTGCTATTTATTCCTGATTTTTTTTTTAACTCCTGCACAGTTGGCACTAAGCACCCATAATTCCACCTTACATATACAATAACAATAAAAGGCTATTTTATTCCAACCAACATTTACTTATCACTTCTGACTTGTGTCTGCACACTTATCAAATAAAATTACAACAGCACAGTCAGCAGTCTCTGATGTCTAATAAACTGTTGCTATTTAAAAAAAAAAAGATTAGAATACTTGTCTATCATATAGTTCTGGTATTCCCAACCTAGTAGAGATATCGGTTTGTCTGAGCTTTTACTGTGAGTGGCTGATGCAGTACAGTACAAACATAGACATGTGTGCTGAAATCCCAAGAAAAATGCAGTTAATTAGAGTTTATTCAGATAATATTCATTAATAGAAACACAACTACTTTGTCTATATAAAGCCATAAGAAACATAACATTTAAGTGAAATGTAAGTGAATGCCATAAATTTACCAGACTGATGAATCCAGCAATGTCTGAACACTTATAACATTACTGAGCTTTCTTAGTGGACTGTTGTCCATGTAAAGAAATTCCTGATGTGCTGTCTTCTTGCACAGAATTATCCTCCAGATTACTGTTGGGTGTAATTCTACACTCAGCAGATTCCTGCATCTACTGACATACAAAAACTCCTTTTTTTTTTTTAAACACACAGTGCAGCTGTTTGTCCTTCCTGACCTCCCAGCAAGCTCTCCCTTTCCAACCGAACCATGCAACCCCCTACAATCATCCTGCTGGGCAGGCAGATGGTGGGTGAATGTCAGTAAAATTTTGTCCAGGTACACATTTTCTCATCTCTCGGAACTGAACAATATTGATAACAAATGACACACACACAAACAGTAAACAAAGGAATTTTACTAACTGCAGCTCCAAATCGTTCTTCTCCTGAGGCAGAAACTTGTAGAGCGCCACATAGGTGTGAATAGAGCGAACCTCCACTCGTTTTGGAGTCTAACAAAATAAAAACCAGATGGAAAATCAAGATTGCTTTTTTGCATGCTTCTCTTGTGGAATCATCAAACATAAAAATATTTTTTGACAGAATGCATTTGTAATAATTTAAAAAAAAAAGAAGCTGAAATAACAGAGGAATGCTGACTACACACTTTTAGACTGACCCGTTCTTCTGAATCAGCCTTCTCGCTTTCAGGAGGGGTGAGCACTGGAGAGACAGACACAGAAACCAAAGACAGATAATATGCATGAGACAAAGAAAGGTCACATAGAAAAAAAAATGAAAAAAATCAAGAAAGAGGGGTGGTGTAAGAGAAAGAAAGAAAAGACAAGACACAGGAAGAGGGAGAGCTCTTGTCACTTTGTGGCAAACAAGTAAGGCAGAAGGGAAGGTCATTCACTATAAAGTGGCAGCAGTACAAACAGAGATGAACTCTTCTCCTGGGACTAAAGTCAAAGAGGAAAAGTGCAGAAGACACACACTACCACCTCTACACTGTACTGTATATTATGTTAATGTGGTCCTTTAACTCTTTGACATTTATTTAGCAATTGTCCTTTACCAGAAACACATCACAATGTATTAGAGCTGAACATTTGTTCTTTAAATACTCAAACTGTGTAACGTATCGTTTCAAAACTTGTTTTTTATGCATTACATTTTTTCACTCAGTATTCAGATATTCTATAAAGTTGTTTTAATGACAAATTCTAGATTAATCCATTAACAATACCTGTACAGTATCACTTTCAGGACCAATGTACTGGTGCATGTTTTTTCTTTTGTCAGTATGTAGTCAGAAAATGTTACACAAAGACCCTACACAAGGAATACTTTGGGGGGGTTGTTTGTTTTTGTAAACAATCAGTATGAGTCTGAAGCAACGCAATCTGAAACTAGAGCCCAGCTGCCAAAAGCAAGGAAAAATGTCAAAACTTAAAAAAGAAAAAGAGTAAACTACATCTACCAGAAGCTCTAAAGCTCACACATGGACATGCTCTGTCTCATTTGTTTTGTGTTAGCTTGAAATTAAAAATAGCTTTAAAAGAAAAGAAGGTGGGTTATGCAAGGGACTATTTCTTGGCTAAGCACAGTGACGTCCCTGGACTCTGGACCAGTTACCCAACAGTGATGAACAAATACTCAACTAATGTCTATATCTGTCCAGCATGAGATTTTAACCAGTCTTTTTTTTTTTTAAAGGGAAATTGTTACTGAATAAGAAACTACTGGTAGCATGAGACAATACCTGCATCCTACAGAGTATGCACAGGTAGTCCACCTCATCTAGGATGGCACATTAATATGCACCATTTTCCAGGAGGTTCACCGTGTCTCCCAGCGCAGTCTCAAGAGCTTGGAAGAGATTCCAGGAGACTGGCAGTTAGGAGAGCTGAACAGGGTGGTAGAAGGTCCTTAACCCATCAGAAAGACCAGTATCTGTTCCTTTGTGCAAAGAGGAACAGGATGATGCCAGAGCTAAAAAAAAAAAAGGACCTCCAGCAGGACACTGGTGTGAATGCTTCTGACCAAACAGTCAGGCCACCCTCATGAAGTCTGTTCCTGAGAACCCAGTATCCTAGTTGCCCTGTGCTCATTACCCATGGAGCTCGACCGGCATTTGCCATAGAATAAAAGCAGGTCCACTGCCTTGTGATTTTCAAAGAAATAAGCATGTTCATACTGAGCACACGTGAGAGATGTCAAAAGGTCTGGAGAAGAGCTGGAGAATGTTATGCTGCCTGTAACACATAATGCAGCATGATCAGTTTTGGTGGTGGGTCAGTGATGGTTTGAGAGGGAGGCACAAACATATACAGCCCAGGCAACAGCACCCTGACTCAGACTGTCCAGGAGCTCAGTGATGTCCTGGTCCAGATCTGGGAGGAGAAACTCCAGAACACCATCCATCATCTCATTAGAAGCATGCCTGACAATGTTGAGGAGGCTATACAATTAAATTAGTTGCTGAAATTAAATTTTGGCAAAATAAACATCAATTTTTTCACTTTGATTTTCAGTGTGTTTTTGAATCAAGTCCTCTGTAAGTTGATACTTTTCATTACAATTAAAACAGATACCCAGCATGATTGTTTTCCCCTATTGAGATCTGATGTTATGTTAAGAATAATCCTCAAGGAATTTTAGCATGACAACATAACAAAATGCATTTCCTGTATTCAAGAAAATATTTAACTTACTTCCTGGGATGTGATCCTCTTCAGCTATAGGCTGGTTTTCTAGTTTGTCTTGCAGTTTTTCTTCCTATGATAAAGACAGGAAGAACAATATTCTTGCAAGAAATTATATCAACATAGATTTTTCTGAATGATGAGGGTTGTCAGTGTATTTTATGTATGTGTGTCTGCCTGTGTGCATTTATACCTCATGACAGGGTGATTCTGAGATACTGCTGAAGCTGGATTGACTCAACTGAGCCAGTGTCATTCCGTAGCGCAAGGCCTCATACACAGGATCAACAGTGCTATTATCTGCTTCTACATATGACCAGACGAAAAGGAAAAGATCATCATATGTGCAGTTTTATAGATGACACTATACTGAGACACACGCACACACGCACGCCTCTCATGTATAAAGCATTAAAGGCCGCAGACATGGTGATTAGTCATCCTCGGAGTCTAGTTATTTGCTGCTGAGATAAATCAGTCTGTGCTTCCATCACTCACCCTGCGCAGCAGGAGCCTCTCTAACCACACCCAGTGGATCAATGGTAAGAAGAGGAGAGCTGAAGTTTCTTTTAAAAGCTCCTGTCTGACATACCAGGAGAGAGACAGCAGAGAAGGAAAGAGAAAGGGAGAAATGTTACTTGAAGTGGGAAAATGCTTTTGTAGGCTTTATCAAAGAAAAGCAGAACATACTTATACATACAAACAGAAAATACTCATGAACTCTGAGTAATTGAAAAGGTTCAAATGTGAATGCACTCAAAAGAATCTTGTTTGTGTTTTTCAAAACTGCAAATTATATATTTTCTTTGAGTTTTATTCAAATTAAATAAAACTAATTTTTACCCATGTGAAAAATACTAAAACATACTGCAGTAAATAAAATGCAAAACATGTTTTATTACACCTACAAGACCTCTTGCCTTTAGAAGCGCTTCAAGGCTTAGATTCAACAAGGTGCTGGAAACATTCCTCAGAGATTTTGGTCTGTATTGACATGACAGCCTCCCACAGTTGCTGCTCATCTGTGATACAAATCTCTTGTTACACGACAGCTTAAAGGTACTCTATTGGATTCAAATGTGGTGGCTCTGGAAGCGATTTACGCAGACCAAACTCATTGTCGTATTCAGGGAACCACTTTGACATTATTTGAGCTTTGTGACATGGTGTGTCATCCTGCTGGAAGCAGCCATCAAAGGATGCGTACACTGTGGTCTTAATAGGGATGGACACTGTCAGCAACAATACTTAGGCAGGCTGTGGGGTTTAAATGACGCTCACTTTGTACTGAGGGGCCCAAATGTGCCAAAAAAACTTCCCCCACACCATCACTGCTATCTTCATAAACCACCAAAAGCTGAAGGCAGGATAGCTCCATGCTTTCATGTTGTTTGTGCTCAACAGAACAGACAATGTCTTTCAGTCCTCTATTGTTCAATTTTGGTGAACCCCTCTATTTGAGAGCCTCATTTTTCCTCTTCTTAACTACCAGGAGTGGCACCGGCTGCGGTCTTCTGCTGCTGCAGCACATTTGCATGCAGGCAATCAAATACAACTCTTCTGTCAGATGACACTAGCATCACAGAGATATGCACACATATCTGGTGACTGAAAGCATAATGGTCCAAAGTAACAAAGGCTAAATATTACTGCTGGGATGTCGTGTGAGACAACAGACTATAAAGGTGCACCTTAAAATATGGCAAAAATGAAGGGATATTTATCAAAGCACATACTAAGGTAGTTCATGTGTCTTGAACGCAATAAATGCAAAATATTGTTCATATTTTTCCATCAGAAGCTTAAATTTTATGGATTGTAGCATGAAGGAATGCATTCCTGATGAATGAGCAGGCAGTGGTTCAGTACTGACCCCCCCTGAGTAACCAGTGGCAGTCAACATCTGACAAGGTGTTAATTTTTGTTAGCATGACGTTTACAAGCAAAGTGTGTTAGCACTACACTAAGCATTAGATGATTTGTTGGAGAAATGTCTAAAAACACTGCTGTACCTGTTATATGCCTGCCTTCAGGAAGATTTAATCACGTGGTGTCTGCATTAATTCGTCACAAAGGTTTGTCACTGTCAAACTGAAGCTTGCCAGTACAGATCTGATACTGTACTCCTTTGATATCTGATTGTGTTTCTTTATTTAGTAAGAGAAACATGTTTAGCTACAGGACGTGACTCAGAGATAAATTTCAAAGCCTTGTTTTTCATGAAAGGGACACAAAATAGAAACAGTTTCTAAAGAATCGCAGCTTTATTTAAGCTCTTAGATTTTTTTCTTCTTTCATCTTTTTGTGATATATGCTGAAAATAATATATCAGGTAAATCGCTTTAATCTCTGAATTACTTTTAGCACAGTTGTGCTTAAAAAAAAAAAACACAACACTTTCAAGGTTGTGTTTTATTTTTAGATTAAAACAATCTCATGAAAATTCACGAGATGTTTTTCTATACAAAAATATTTCACAAGGTCAAAGCACACCATACCAGAAATTACTGATAAACAATTGCCATCTACCAACCCCAATTATCACTAAATGATTTATTCCAGGATCTACAATTTTAAAAATAATAAAAGAAACTGGCAGCTGTGATCATTTATTGTAGCCACAGCCACCCTGGGGCGCACTGACAGAAGCGAGGCTGCCGGACACTGGCACCACCGGGCCCTCTGACCACCACCAGTTTTAAGGTACAGAAGGAGATGATGGCTATTTTCAGGCCAGACAGACAAGATCTTGCCCAGAATTTTTTATTTCTTTTTTAATCTGCTTGTTCCCAGAAAATAACCTTCAGCTCTAGACAGAAATGACTGCATAAAACTGAACAGTGAAGCTTTTTGTTAAAAGGGACAATATCAGAAATACACATTGAGATAAATATCTGAACACATCTGCCTAATCAAACCCACTAATGAGAGTACTGCAGTTTGTGTATTTGAAGTATTACAGACTGAATGCATGTGGTAACAGTTACCACATGCATTCAGTCTGTAATACTTCAGTTACGGGGGGGAGGGATGCAAATCAAATGTTTACTCTCACTGTATTTTAACATTACAGCCATTGATGGCATTTGACTGGCAAAATATTAGTTGACTTTTAAAACGAAATGAAACCTGTTTGACAGTGTGCACAGCTATCGGTGGGTCTACAAAACTAAACAATGATCATTACTGCACTTTCTGAAAGTTGATCAGACGTTACAGGAACAAAAAAAGGAGCTGAATGCTGCGGATGCACACCTTCTCGGTGAGGTGACTTCGTCCACTGTGCCCTGCTATTAGTCATAGACTCGTGCTGTGTTCAGCATAAAAGTGCACCATAGACAGGATAAAAGATGGATGTAGCTACCATGATGTCACCCAGTGTTTTGTTTTGAATCTGGGTCTGATTACGGGGCACATCTGAATGTGAAACTGCTCATTGAATTGCTCATTAGCTAATGAGCTTACCCTGGATAGTCTCCTATAGACTTCTATAGATCAGATGATCATACACTGATGAAAAAAGGCCAATTATTACCAAACCTCCTTATTAACAACGGTAATATATAGTTTTACTCCCAGAGTTATGTCATTTGTAGTACTTATTAGTACTTCCTGTTGCTAGTACTAACTACAGGTTAGCAGATTATTTCTGTCCTTATGTGCATTAATAAGGCTAAGTCATAAGTTCTCAATAAAATCGTTACATTTGTACTTTTTGTATTTTTATTATTAATGAATCTGTGTGCCATCTCCTAAACTGCCTAAATTATTCAATTCACAATTTGTTTTTTTAAGTCTATGCCATTAATCTTCTTTTTATGCATTGTTGTACCTTTAGCATAGAGACACAGATAAGCAACTAAAGCCAAGTCCAGGTATTAATGCTGTCTTTCACTGAATATTTTAAATATCATCCCTTTTTTAATCTGTTTATCACAAGGTTCTTTACAGGAATTTGGACACACACACACACACACACACACACACACACACACACACACACACACACACACACACAGGTCTCAGTAAATAAATATAGCAAATGCTTCACTCTCACACTTTTGCTAATTACTGAGAGACAACTGGGCTCAACTATACAACAAATGCTCCCAATTAAAATAAACTGTGCTCAAAACTGTAGGTAGAAAATGTTCTTAAGCACACAAACCTTTCTTTCACATTAAAGAGTGAGCGGTAACTTTATTTATCCAGAACCCGGATCACTCAGTAGCTTAAATCTCTATGCACATCTCCATATTTCAAAAGCAAGCAGGCCATCACTTTACACATACCTACTGTCTCTAAGACAAGGACAGCTGTGAACCCCAGATGTTTTAAATTTTTACCCAGCCTTTATTTATTTGTATTTAACCCTTATCATATTTTCTTTTAACTGAAAACAGGTTTTTGTTTAAGTATCACAATATCTTACGATTGTGACAGTATTACTGGAATGGCTTAGTCTTTAGGGGAGCAGACAAGCTGAACGTTCACACCTATTTAAGATCAAAACTGGATTCAGATTTCTGAACTGTATAAAGACTTCACACAGAAGCAATGATTTTGTGCAATGCAGCAGGCCTAGTTCCAATAATACTGTAATTCATCTTTAATTCAAATTAGCATTGATTAGCAAAAAGTTGTCATGATTCCAAGCCAATTTAAAGCTGCTTGATTCTGGAGACGTTTTAAAGTAATTGGTCATATATCGGTGCACTCAGCAAATGGGTTGAGAGTGAGCCAAGAAGAGCGCAGTCATCAATATCTCTCTTGTGCTTTCTAAGGTCTAAGCCACTCAGATTTTTTTGTTTGACCATTCTCCTCATGTAATAATGCTTGTTTAAGATTTTTTTTCATTACTCAAACCCAAGAGAATAAATTTCAAAAGAAAAAATATACTGTTCATTTGTTAAGCTTTGAATTTTTTCCTTTCTTCTTCTGGGTCACGTAACTCTTATAACAATGATATGACATTAAATTAAAAAAATAATACTTCTGGGATCACTTATGATTAATTTCCAGTCAAGAAGGATTAAAAAGCAGTAACTATAAATTTCCATGGTGGTATCGTTAGGCTCTGTTAGTTATTACTGTTCTGGCTGCAGCCCTAGAACAGATAAACACACTGAAGACTTGGGCATAAATATAAATGAAACATTTTGAAGTGTAAAAATGAATAAAAAAAAACAAAAACAAAACGCAGAATATGTTAAGTGATTTTTTAAACAGATTTATTATTTTAAATGTCCTTAAAAGACAGTGGAGTTCACGCCTGGAAGGACTTACGATTGCACCAGAGCTCCTGTTTTTGGGGACTTAACTTTAGTAACATGTATACAAAATTGGAAACCTGGCTACTTTACATGAATTGCCACACGTGTAAGTTTTTCCGACTTTAATTTGTTCCCTTTACATTTTTTCTCCAATTTTAAATCATTTATGAATTGTACCTGAGAAATTGACACACTGTAATTGTAATCCAACTGCAATTTACATTGAAGAGTATGTTTTGTACACAAAACTTTTGGGTGGCATGCTTTGGTTCAGAGTCAGTGAACCCCTTAATGTACGTCGATGTAGCCTTGAACTCCATTCAGTTTCAGTAAAATGCCTAATCCCTGCTTTGATGACCGCGCAGTGATCGAAAAGGACACTGCCGAAGGCTTGGCGAAAGCCTGCCGTGTCATATCCTCAAGGGATTGTACGCCTCAAACACACTGAATTTCACACTGAATTAGCCAGACCAGCTGGTACAGAGAGATATTGATTTTCCAACTGAGTTGAGAAGGGAGGAAGGAAATGTAGCATCCAGACAAGAGAGAGGGAGAGAAGAGGACGTCATGTGAGAAGAGCAGCACATGTGTGAGGAAGGGCAAAGAGGCAGAGTGAAAAATATTTGGACCTGGCCATGTATATTCTAGGTGTCATCCACAGCTTTTATTCCCCTCGGGCTTCACACTTAGTCTCAGTCTACTGTGAAAACATCATCAATAAAGATTCCAATTATAACCCATACCTTTTTGTCTTTGGTGGTTTGGTTTGAAAAAGGCTTTTATCCTCTTTTAACAAGACGGAGGGATCTGAGGCTAAGCATATTACCAAGACAAAACACTATGCCAGGTGACAGAGACAATTACAGCATCCAGATGCTGTTTAAAGCTGCTGGCACAATGCAATCTGTGTTAGTCTCCATTCTACAGAGAACGTGCTCGTTTTCAGTAAATTCTCTATGCAAGAACACATCATATAGAAAGATAATTAACTAAGTGACAAGAATTTTTGGCTACATCAAGCAGAGCTGTTGGGAGATGATGGCAGTAAAGAGCAAAGCAACTAAGGTACACTGAAAATAATATTCAGACAAAGCCAACCAACCAGTGATTGAGTAGTACTTTATACCTGTGAAATATTTAAATCTTGGTATTTCAGACACTTCCACTGAGATTGTATGCTATCATTCAATCAATCCTTAAAGTGTAACAATCTGATGAAGGTGCAAAGAGCCTTACCTTGCCATTACAGGGCTGCTGGGAGAGCTCGGAGGAGCACCAGAGGTGGGTGGCCATCTTGCAAGATTTACAACGTAGGCCCTGCTTGGAGTTTCCTGCATTAACACCAAACATTACACGTGTTACCATAAGCCTGTCAGGAAATATTTCTGTAGCTTTGAATCAATCGTTAGCTAGCGATGGTATTCTAATGGTAGCAAAGATGAGGTGTGCCAGATGTGTGCCTCATTTGTGGTTCCTGTATCAAGTATAAAATAAACCAGCTCTGTCACTCACATACATTGTAGTTTGTGTGCAAAATGTTACAGAAAACTAATGTTACATATTAGGCACAGTTAGTATATCCACCTTCAGAAATGGCCTTTGTGCATAAACTGACATGGTTTTAAATTGGTCTACACTGATGACCATCCAAAGACAAAGGGACACAAAGACATCAGTTTGGTGGATGTTACTGGTAATCCCATTTTACATAAACAGCACTGCTGAGATAGGTCAGCATGCCAACAGAACAAGAAGGCAAAACAACTCCCAGTGGAAGCATGTACAGAGGTCCATAAAGCCTGCTGTCGGATGATTTCATTGGGACCAATGAGCAAATAGACTGCAAACTGCCCACAGTGACTGGGCAATAATAAGAAATGAGCTATAGTCCATTACAGGGTACCTATTATGCTCATTTCCAGTTTCATGTTTTTATATCTAGACATAACTTTGCATGATAGCAGTTCAAACTAATCCTTATTTATCCTGGCACTCCTCCACATCATACTCTGTCTAAAACAAGCCACTTTAACTCTCAGTCTCCTGACTTTAATCCAGCTTTCTTACGACTGGCTGCCTGTCCTGAGTGTGGCTTGTGTCTGAGATGACCATTTTAGGAATATTTGCTCACACACATTGACACAAAGGTAGAATATCTGTTGAAACAGATCATTCAGATATTTTATGAATTATCATGACAGGGAAAGTAAAGAAATTCTACAATTCAATTCTAACACTCAAGAATATCAGTTTGTCTTTGAATTTCAAGTGGCATTTGCCTTTTTTCTTTGTCATGTTTATTTCCACCATGGACAGATACAAATAACAAAAAAACAAAAAAAAAAGCCCCTAACATTATAAATCAAGGTAAATGTCAGAAAACAGATTGATAACAATCTAATTCCTACACCCTGAGCCAACATGGTTGCATCTTTTTGCTGTGAATACGATGTTCTTGAAGTGGAACAACTGACCTACCTTGGATTGTATGTTTGCATCGCTGGCAGCTGGTAGGCCTACGGAAGACATGCTCCTGGAAACAGTGGGTCTTGACTGGCTGCACTGGCTGGGCCTGACACTTTGGCTGGATCTTGGAAGTCCCATATATTGAAGGACTGACAGACGGGGAGTGTGATGACAACGAAGGGTTAGGACTGATAGATGGAGAGAGAGAGGGAGAGTGTTCATAGGCCAGAGGGGACTCAGACATGGGGGGAGGAGATGCCGGTGGTGCCGATGTGGCAGTTAGGCATAAAGGTGGCTGTGATTCACCGTTGCTGCGCTGGAAAAAGTTGTCCACACTCTTGCTGCGTATGACCGATTTGAAGGAGAGGGAGCGTTTCAGCCGCTGCAGCTAGAACAAAAAAACATTAAAGATATTTAGTCAGGCTTCAACAGCACGAAAGATTATAACTGTTTTCAAGAAAACTGAGAAAGCAAGCGACAAAAGTACTAAAAGGCCCAGAGTGGAATGACTGCACAGTATACATGCTAAAACAAGAACTGAGTACACAATTTTAATTTTTCGATAATCCACACGGGGTCAAAATCATACATGTCTCAAATATAGACAAGCATGCACTTAACATCATTTAGTAAGTGATTCTGAAGATTACAGTGTTTTAATTTGACAAGGTCAGTCTTTATTAGGCTCATTAGTTATCATGATTGAGGAAATTGGTTAGGATGTTTAGGAACAACCCAGGAAACCACCAAGGTTCAACTGGCTATGAACTGGGAGTGGTGGAAAACCAGCATCACTGTCCACAATGAAGGGAGTTTTAATTTACCATGGACTAAGGGGCTGCCAACAAAGAAAGGAAACCCTATGACCCTACTCAATTCTGAAAAGAAGAGTGGCCAAATATCCAGACAGAATCCTTTCAGAAGCTTGCTGATGACTACCAAAAGTGTCTGGTTGAGGTGCAACTTGCTAAGGGACATTTAACCAAATATTTGTGGGGTTTAATGTATATGTATATATTTGTGCCTGTAATACTAATGTCCTATACTGATCATCCAGTCACTAGCATCCACTAGGCTTTTGGTGGTCGTTTGCTGGTCGGTGGTGAGCAGTGTGGAACCAAAACAGTAACACGGTGGACCAAAAACAGTGAGCTAAAACATCCTAAAAAGATGCCTAGAGCTGAGATTTGCTGACAACACAACGTCTTTCAAAATGTAAATGCAATCCATTTCATCTTTGAATGTATTCATAATTTCAATCATTTCTTCTTTAATATGGACTTCTATGTCCTTACTAAAGATTAGGTAAGGACTATTATACTTTTTCCAAGGGCTTTTAGAACAATGACTGCAACTTCAAATGTTAAAACACCCACCTTGTATTCAATTGAGGATCGTGTATGTTGTACGGTGGCAGCAGATTTAAAGTAGGAACAATAGCAGTGGGTTTTGATACAACAAACAGGCAACCAGCTAAAGTGTATGTGCCTTGTTTAAATATTAGTCTGTTAAAAATAGTCGTACCCTTTCTGTCCTTGCACTACTAGGCTGACTTCTGATCTTCCATATTCAGCCCACCCCATTCCACTATTCTCTTTTCCTTAGATGGCAAATATGCTTTCCCTTGCAAATCCACCCAAGTCAATACCCTTTAAAATTCATGTTTGATTAGTTTTATTGAGCAGACTGCAGCTATGCATTTGATGCAGTCAGTGATGCATGGCAAGCACTGTATTCATCTTTGGCTTCACTTTTCTCAATTTCTTGCATGCTTGCCATCCAGCGCTTTTGGCCACAATAAAGTGGAACTGAGAATGACAAATAATTACAGGGACTTGGGAGTGATGGAACTCAATTTATGGAAAATAATAACTGATATGGATTCATACAGAGAACGGCCTGGAGAATGGGAGCAAGGACATAATGGATCCGTGAGACCTCCTCAATTTGCACAGAGCTCATTAGCGGTCTGTGTTTGTCACTTGGTTGAAGATACCATTGCGATATACAGAGCAGTGCCTCAACTTGAAGCCTATCAAAATTTATATTAAATTCTGGATTCTTGTTACTTCTAAGCATTAGTTTTCTTCCTGTGTAACCATTTCCAGCAAAAGGCGAGACATTTCTTCAAAGCCAGTAAGACCAGCATTGCAGCTTCACTGGACCTCTTTATGTTCATATGTGGAGAGGTTCTTCATCAGGTTTATTGCGTCTCTGAGCTTTGAAATCATCCAGCTGCACTCCTTCACAGAAAACCCAATCAATATCATTGAGCATGTTCCTTTTTTCCTTCTTCAAGCTACAGATTCACAGATGCCAATTAGTTTGAGTGATGAAAACAGTCCTCTGTGTTGACCCATTAGTGAGCTCCTCTCGCAAATGTTTTCTACAGGGAGCTGAGTCCATGCTTTCCTTAATGGCCTTTTCTTGGCATGACTGGTGGCCCATTCAGTAATGGATGTTCCTCTCTATTAGATTTTTAACTTGTCTGACTTTGTTAATCTTCTTTGTAGTGAATGCCTGTCTTTGCTTCACATCCAAGGAAAAGGAACAACTTCTTTGAGCACAAACTAGACAACACATGTCTGATAATCAATGGCTTTATTTATCTCCCCAAGCTTTTAAAGAGATTAAATAAAAACAGACAGAAGCTGGGATTCAGAGCCAATTTTAAAAAGTGAAAGAATAGCTAGTTGACTGCCAAACATATCTGGTACGTAGCTTTACATGGTTGAATAATCATGAAATCTGGACATTAGTACTCCAAATTACAACAGCATATTGACAAGAGTCTGGTTATAGATCTGCCTGAATAAAACAAAAAAGAAAAATCATAATGTTGTTCATCCAAATTTGAATTCCATTGTCTTATCAATTTCACATCTAAAAAATGGCAATACATTATGTGGCCTGAAAAAAAAAGTGATTATCTTTTATCTAAGAAATGATAACAACAGCATGTTCCACATTTGCTGATAGTTGTCAACACATCCATTTTCTGCATTTTTTTGACTGCACATGATTAAAACAGACACTCAAGATTTAATCCTTCTCTTCTTTCACATGAAACAAGCTACTTATAACTCCCTCAAACACGTATTTCATTGAAATAATAAGTCAAATCATTACAAATACAACAAATTTACCCTTGCAGCTAAGGGAAATGTAAACACTATGGCATACAGCAACGGTTTGAGGAATACTTTCTCCTGCTTCAGTGTCCTCAGGGTTTAAGCAAAGCCCATAACAAAACGTTTTTTCCAGTTTGCTGAAGAGAATTTTTACTGGCCTGACTTAAATCCCATCAAGGTATGACCCTATTGTCAAACATCAGGGGCTGACCTCACTAATCGCATTTTGGCAGCAAGGTTACAAAATCTTGTCAAAAGCCATCTGAAGAGTGGAGGCTGTGAAACCAGCACACTAATCACATATGCATTTAATATTTGGTTCTCCACATACTCGAATATATCAAACTGACTTTCAAGGCCCAGGTCAGTGCTGGTCCATAAATATTCAGTCCACATGCACATGGGCAGTGTGCATTTATGCATCACAGCCACACAGTGTGAACAATCATTACCTGAGATGCACACTGGGTTCAGTCTGATTTAAGCTCTGCTGACTTCATAATACATGTCAGGGCGCATTGATCATGCTCTGCGAATATTCAAGCATCCTGACAAAAAGACTGATTAAATTAGTATAAATAATTATTTAATGAATGTATCTATACATCAAGTAATTTAAAAAAATTACAGCTGCCTGACCTTCTGAAATTAGGGGTCTGCAGTGCATTCTGCTGGATATGCACCACTATCCTCATGATCTCCTAGGCTTTATAACTCTTATTATCTATTATTGAATAATGTTAGAACAGCTGCTGTTTTACAGATTTTATACATCTTATAACAACCCTCTGAAAGAACAATTCAAAAGCAATATCCTATTAATTACAGTTACTGTCTGTAATTACTCTCCGAAGGTGGTGAAAAGTCTATTTTTAGATCACAGAACTGGAAAGCTATCACACTACACAGCTGACAGCAATTACTTCATCACAGCATTTATGATGTAGTGTATTAGAACAGGCTGCGGTCTGTGAAAGAACACATGTAAACTATGTGTGTAGTCAAAGAAACTGAAAGAATTAGTGAAACAGAAGCAAGAAATGGAGGAAAGAACACGTTAAGAGAAGAAAATATCGCACCACCGCCTAGACTCTGCCTTGTATTTCAGCTGCACTTTGAAAATGAGCACAGAGATGTTTGGTGAAGCCTTCTATAAATAGGCTGTTGTAGGGAATACTTGGATAAATTAATTATTAAGAAGGGAGGTGTGGGCGTTCAGACAAGATGCCTGTGTGAGGTAAAGTCATCCTGCTGCCACCAAGATGGAGTTGATGCTCCTGCGCTTTTTGTGGGGCTGAGCAGAAAAGGAACAATATTTCGACCCTTTCTTATGCAATGCTTTTCTTCCCCTGCTATACCTTACAGTAAAAAACTGAAATCTGGCACAATAACGGAAAAGAGTCTCCTGATTCTTTTCAAAAAGTAGCCATCACCTGATTCCCTGGATCACAGTAACTTTAAAAGACTTTATCTAAACTTCTTTTGTACCCTCCTCCTCACTGATACCTTTTAAACGTGAGATCCATTTGAAATTGTAAGATGCAGCTAAATAAATGTCATGAAAGTCCAACTAGAACAACTGGAATTCATTTAACTTTAAACAGAGTCACTTTAACCGATGACAGGTGTGTACTGACAAGTGTTTAGGTTGGATTAATTCTGAAATTACCTACACTTCTACTTATAAGAGTGTGTACACTTATGTAACCATATTAGTTACATTTATTTTTGTTTTGTCAGTTTCATTGTGCAGGTTAAAAGGTCACAAAAGTGAAAAACAAAAATCAGAAATCATTTATCTTGGTTCCTTACAAAAACATGGTATTTTAATGTGAATTTTATGACCGTGGTCCTAAATATTGACGAATTATTAACAAATCTGACACCAATCAACTTCAGAGAGAAAGGTTTATCATAATTGAGATAAGCTTTAACTTACTGGCAAAAGACTAAAAATGTTTTTGACACATTACCTATTGATTCTAGATTACAGATCAACAGTTATGAAATTACTACCTACTGACCAGTAAGTTCTCTGGAAAATAGCGCCATTCCTGGAATATCCTCTGAACCTTTGTTCAGAGTGTAAGAGCGTAAAAACACTAAGACATTTTTCAGCATTTAAAGTCTCTGCATTTCCTAGATGATGAGTGCTATAAATAAATAATTAAATGCAACTTTAAATCTCATTCCTCGACTTTTTCTGCATCAGCTGCAAACAGTTTCACAATTTTATTGTTCTGTATGAAGCTGTTTG